TTGCAGGGGTGAGTTGATCAATGGCGCGTTTTGACGTGATTTTATCAATTTGATGAAAATTTCTTCCCTTCAATGCTAATTAATTTTCATCATATTTTAGTTCCTATGCACCCCATTATTACTATATATGGCATACACCGCTACCCAATTTGCCGCCAAACATGATAATCATAACACGCTGGCGGCCTATGTTCAAGTCGCATGTTGGATTTTACAATTCATCGGACACGGATTTGCAGAAAAACGTAGTCCAACCTTACTTGATAACCTTGCACAAGGTTTTTTTCCAGATAATCATGTCATTCTTAGTTTAACAAGAAATACTACGATTAATTCATTCTACCACAATTCGTTCATCTCACCTCAAAAATAGCCGTTTTACTTGCCCCATTATTTGTTTGGTTCGAAGTTTTATTCTTTTTGGGATATCGATCTGCGCTCCAGCATCGTGTTAACGCTAAAGTGGAAGCTGCGATTGCCGAATTCAAATCACGAAAGCAGAAGTCATCAAAGAAAGTTGAGTAATAAAGAGGGGAAGCGTGTGTTGTTTATTCTTATTCGGTTAATTATCGAATGAATGAATGAATGAATAATTAATAATATTAAAAGATATATCACCATCAAAAGATTGCTGTTATTCTTTTCTAGCACTCGACGAATGCAGAATTGGGATGAGAGAGAACTTTACAGTCATTATTTTGTTAGTCTGATGTGTTTCATTAGTTTAAAGAGTTCTTTATTGTAATCGATTAATTAACTTCATCATCATCTTCATTGTCCGATCTTCTTAAAAATACATCAAGAACTTCATAAAAGATATCCTTGTATTTATTTATAGTCATTAAATAATAAGGTGATTTTTTTCGCAAAAATTATAAATAAAAAATTTATATATTGATCGGTTCCATCATTCTCTTGTTCCAAGTCATCCGACATATAATAAAACATCATTCTGCACAGCTGCTAATATTGTGTTGTGGATAACGTAATTATTACTATTATTTATTAGATTCGATATTTTCATAGTCCTAGTGTCTTTCTCACGTTATCCTTAACAATCTTATCGAACCCTTCACGATCTGTCCTCCAAATTTTCTATGATAAATTTTAGAAAATTCAGAATATTATTTTCCAGAATATCACAAAGAAAGATGAACCAAAGAATCAAATAAAAACATACACAGGCTTCAATATTTGCGCCACTTTCATCATTCGGTTCCGCCAACATACTAACTACGCTCAATAAAATCTTTTCAACGCTTTGTACAGGTGACCAACGTTCTGATGAACTTTCGTACATATTTGGATCGTCACCAGGAGGATGCAAGATAGATATACATACTAGTCCATCAGGATATACTATATAGGACAATATATGTTAAGTAATAGAAATGTAAAAACGATGCATTATTGAATTTAAAAAGATTCAAAGGTTTTTATTACCATTTGGATGAAACATTTCGCATGTGAATTTCATGGTTGGTGGTGATAATGGATAATCGGTAGGAAAACGTAGTATGGCAGGGAATATACCTCCTTCATAAGGTGTTCCTTCCGGACCTCTAATCGCCCATGATAACCAAATTCAAAATTTTGTATTTCAAACAATTGAATATAATAAGAAGATAAATAATAAAATCTCGTATAATTACGCTATCAGTGCCTCCCATTCGAAGAAGGAGTCTTCGGAAATAGGCCCTGCGTTAATTTGATATGAATAATTATACGCGAATGAATCAAAAAATCTTCAACCCATTTTCCTCGATAAAAATTATTCCAGACAGTCTTCATCTTACCGGCTGTAATTCCCTCTGGAGCATTCAAAGTAAGTTCTAGAAAAATCAAGCAGAAAGTTTAAAGACAAGAATTCACGTGGAAATTAACGGTTGGGAACTATTTGTCTCGAAAAAAGTCAACATTTTTCACGAAAAGAAAAATTCATTTACCTTTATATTCGGTCATCAACCGCTTTAGTGCGGTTGATGCCATATTTCGAGAGTTATACATTTGAATAGCTTTGAGGAATGGTGTGGGTAGAAAGTAAATAGGTTTGTTTCATCAGAAACACAAGAATGATCCGGTTTTCTAGCCGGTTTACTTGTTTTTTGCAGGGTATTATCGTTATGACAACAAAACTTTTTAGTCTACCTGTAAAAATGTTCGCTTCGAAATTGCGCTATAGAAATGGAATTGTTGGAAGAAAGTTACTCTCGCTTCATCATCTATACTCAACACAAACTTGTACTTATGGTATATGTTTAGACATTGATGGAGTTTTGATAAAGGTATTGTGAACTAATTCACACTGTTTTGTACTTGACAGTGATGATATCTTTATTGATAGTTACCATTTACTATTGTAAAAGGGAAATCAAGCAATACCGCGGGCAAAGAAAGCCTTAGAATTTTTATCCGGTGAAAATGTTTTACAAAAGTAAGTTTAGACTATTTCATATATTATTATCGTTCAATAGAAGCTTTTCTTATCATCTTTAATAAAGAGCGGTCACGGTTTGATGTTGGTTCAACCGGTTCTATCAAAGAAAGATTCCTTTCGTGGTACTCTCTAACGGTGGTGGGCTGACAGAAGCCAAAAAAGCAGAGAGTTTGACAAATATGATCAATTTTCCAGTAGGTTTTGGCATTTTAATCTCTATTGAAAATCAATAATATCGCAAATGAAGATCACGCGTAAAAGAAGCTTATTATCGAAATGATTTAATAGATCTCTCCGAAACAACTCGTTCTCGCACATTCTCCTATGCGATCATTAGTCTCAAAATATCAAGATTCCTTAGTTTTGATAGTGGGCGGGGCCGGTTATTCATGTGCAGAAGTAGCCAAAAGGTACCTTTGCGATTTTGTTTTCAAAATTTATTTTTTGATTTATGTCTAATTCTTATTGTTATCTTTTAGCTATGGGTTTAAAAAGGCAGTAATACCAAATGATATTATGCGATGGGAACCAAGTAAGTTATTCTAAGAAAATATAAACTTATTTGTTTAATATTGAGTTATTGACCATAATATATGATTTATTTATAGCTATTTGGCCGTATGCATCAATTATGCAAGGAAGCTCGGAAACACCGGTTTGTAATTATAAATTATAGCATTTATGTTTAACTTTATTTATAAATTGAATATTCCTCGGGTATATCTATAGGAATACGATTTTTCCAAACAAGCAATACAAGCTATAATGATGTTTCATGATTCACGTGACTGTTAGTACCTTTACTCATTCTTTACCACTTGATCTTTTTCATAACATCACTCAAATTTCTATTGCATAAAATTTTTATAGGGGGCCGCGACATGCAAATTATGTTAGATGTGCTACAATCCAAGGACGGATATATCGGCACATTGATACCCGAAGCGGAAGAAATCTTGCATCAAATTCCTCTTTATTTTGCCAATCCTGATTTTGTAAACGATATTTCTTTAATAATTAGTTTGATTTTTTTTAATAAATAATTTTTAATTCTATCTTGCATAAAAATTCAGGTTTGGTCCACTGAATTTCCAATCCCTCGTTTTGGACAAGGTGCTTTTCGAATAGCATTTGCAAGACTATTTGAGGTAAGCTATTGATCAATGATAGGAATCAGCTGGCCGGGATTTTGAATATTTGACTAGAAAAGATTGTTTTCTTATGTATAGGAAGCGACAGGCAAAAAACTCAAATACGAGTTATTTGGGAAACCAGAGACCCCTATATATAGATATGCAGAAAGTCTACTCGCCGATCAGGCCTATGAAATTTGCAAAAGGCACACATTACCTAAACATATTTATGGTAGATTTACTTATCATTTATTGCTCAATTAAATATGCGTCAACAATATATTTACTCACACAACCTCTTATTTGGTAGCTGTTGGTGATAACCCTGCTGCAGGTGGCAAGTTTTTTTTTATCTAAAAATTTATCAATACAAAAATCTAATTTTCTATTTAACTATTAAATAGACATTGCTGGTGCCAATGCACACAATTGGAACTCGATTCTAGTTCGAACAGGTGTATTTCAGGGTAAGGATAATGACGTGCGATTTCCAGCTGATCATGTGGCACAAGATGTATTCGAAGCGGTTGAATATATGTTCCATAAAGAAGAAGGAAGATGATATTCATTACAGAAATTACAGATTAAACTTTTTTTGATTACTATATAACATTATTTTGGAGGAAAATAAATTAATTTTACTGATGACCAAAAATTATTATAAATAAAGCAAAATTCTATGTAATTAAAATATTAATAATAAAAATTTGATTTTTTTTGATTATTCTATTGTAAAAATTGTTCGCAAGCGGATCATGAAAGACATTAATTTTAATAACGGGAACCGGGAAGAGCGTACGTAATAGAGTTAAAATATATTATTGGGCTTCCTCCTTCACATGAGAGTCGACAACAGAACTGGATTCATTATCCACAATTTCTTCCGATTTCACTTCACTAATTGTGACAACTTTTTCTTCTTCGGGTGTTGTAATAGAAGTGGAGGTGGTGGTGGTGGTGGTGATGGTGGTGACGGTGGCAGAAGTCACTTCGTTTTGAGTAATGGTCGATTTGTTAAAATGCTTATTGCGAGATCGTTCACGTTGATAATCTTGGCCTTTTACAGATCTATTCTCTAAAGCCGAAATTTCTGCTTCAGCTTTCTCGATATTTTCATTAGTTACCTTGACCTGGTTTTCAAGGTAATAATTTTTTCTTGCAATAAGATCGTCAATAGTCTTTCCGATATCAGCTACGTTAATGGGGATGGAGACTTTTAAGCTGGCCAACTGTTGTAGGATCTCAATGTCGAGATTGAAACTGGTCGATTTTTTATCTTTGGGTGATTTCTTTTTGCTACTATTCTTTTTTCCAATGAAATAATCATCATTACGATCAGCCTTTTTAGTAAGCATCATTCCTTCAGGGGTGTTGGATGAAGTATCAGGTTCGCGTATAGTCGTGCTAAAAGCCGAAGTAGTAACGGGTGTTTGATCGTTTGCTTTACTATTACCATTAATAGCTTGGAAATACTTGATCAGAAGATCACAAGTATAAATCTCATTTTCGAATGCCGGGGTGGATGCATTTTCTCTGATACGTGCGGCTATCTCAGCTCTCCTTTGTGCTTCATATTGTTCCCTCTTTTCTTTTTGTGCTTCCCGTCGACGACGACGATCTTCTTCTTGTTGTTGTTTAAACTGATTTCTGGCATTTATGACGTCGCGTCTTCTTTCAATTTCGCTGGCGATTAGTTCACGAATTCGTTTCTTTTCGTCGTAAAGCACATTGATTTCATCAAGCTCGTTTTTCAACTGATCGAATTCGGTGTTAAATTTTTGCATATCGGTTTCGTCATCGTCTAGAGTCTTTCTTAATTCATCGATGGCCTTTTGTTCATTATCAATGATCAGTTGCTGGGCATCAAAAGATTCAACAGTCTTTTTTAGCCTGTTAAGTTGGGATATTTCTGTGAGTATCCTTTTTTCATCGATAATTTTTAGATTGCCCGCCTCGACTTGCTTGTCCAGTTTCCTATTCTCGATAGAAAAAACAAAGTTATATTTAAAACTCAAATACAACGCTTTATGTATCATAAAATAAAGATAAGAAGAAAATTTACATTATCTGATTGTCAATCTCTTTGGTTGTTTTATACGGACTTTTAACTTTATCTTTGTTCATTTTTAGATCACGTTTCTATGAATTGAATATGAGCCTTTTTTTCTAGAATTTGTCCGAATTAATGATCACTTTGAGATAATTACCTTTCGCTGCAACGAATCACTCATCGTTTTCAACTCATCTCTCTTCGCCATCCTCTTTTTTCTAATTTCGGATTGCTTTTCACGAAGTTCATCTTTTTTTAACGATGCAGAACTTCTATCTGCATTATTAATTTTTTCATTTATAGCGTTCTATGAGAGGGAACACAAACAATTAGTTACGTCTCGCCGCATACACAACAATAACTATAGGTTATAAAGATGACATTATAAATCAAACGTCGTGCAACAATAACGTTATTTCTTGCTTTAACTCTGTTGGTGAATCTAATTTTATAACGGGAAAATATGTGAGATGACACACCATTTCCGCTTGCAATTTATCAATCGTGCCCTTTATTTCATCAAGGGATTTTTGAAAAGCTTCTTCGCTAGGTTTTGATGAAAGTTTCAAGTTATTCTTTTTGTCCTCTTCAGCGACGACACTCTGTTCGGGAAGGGAAGCAGCAGCAGGCATTTTTAACTTGACAGATTAACAAAAATTTTAGTTATGGAATAATTGAAGGTTTACGTCGAGGCGTATAAATAATTCAAAAGGAATGGAAACAGGTGTATTTATCCTGCAGTTTGCATAATTAACTCGATCGACCCAAATTCAACCATTACACGAGGAAGTGTTTTTGCATCGTGTTCGCGTGGCAGTTCATGATTCATTCAATCACCCGATACGAATGTGACCAAAAAACGTAAATCTTAACTTCAATGGACATCGTGGCTCATTGAGTTGTTGATCGCTCGAAATAGTTTCTTTAAATTCACGAATAAATTAGTTTTATTTATATAAATGCCAAAAATCATTCTATCTACAGTAACGGACCCATCCGTTCCCGTCATTTAGTCCGACATATCGGCGAATCCCACTATAACGCCCATCCATTATGACTGAACATTAATCAAATAAGAATAAAATATGTTGAAGGAATTAACATTATATCAAAAAGTATTTGTCTTCTAATATTAATCATATAATGTGCCACTAATAAAGCAAGAATTAGAGAGTCTACACACGATAATAAAAATCAAAAGAGGTGGATTAATCTTTGAATAGCATAATGCCGTGTTCCCCAAAATCAAGAATAGTAATAGTCCTCACCAAGGGTTGAAATCCAACGAACTCGGATATTTACAAATCGTCAGCAAAATTATCTTCAAATTCATCTTCTAAATCGTTCAGTATGAAGTACAGCAAAAATTCCTTTTTCTTTTGTGCATGAGACTCCATCAATACTCGATCACTAGTCTTTGATCGCAACATCACTGAACCAAGGACGAAGGCTGCAAGTTCGTTTAAAGATTCATATTAGAGTTTGGTTTAAACATAGTTTTCATAAATTAGAAATCACGTATATTGATATTACCCAAAGTTTCAATTCTACTGGTATCTTTCTGCTTGTCATGATTAATTACCTCTCGCAAGAATGAGGTTATATATATGAAAACATTTGCATGAACACTTGGTATGAGCTCTAACACCTTAATATATATTTTTATATGATAAGTTGAAATAATTTTTCCAAAACTTTGTCCGTCAACTTGCTATTGATGTTAAGTACTAACCTCATGAGCTGCAGGTCTACTTTTAATATTTATACATTGATCGTATAAATGAAAAGGGATCACCGGTTCTGGCAAAGATTCTAAGAAACGAATAAGAGCATCAGCCATCGAATGTATGCCGATATTAGAACCGAGAGTATCGCGTGATGGTTTTTCGGACAACGTAGATAGATCTGTTGCATGTTTATTATGTTTAACGGTTGTCTCATCCTCAAGTGGAGTAGGAAGAGATTCTTCTTGTTTATCATCGAGAAGTAGAGAAAGATCAAATTCTTCTCCCGTATCTAAGCACTCACGAATATGATTTATAAGAGATTGATCACCCGTCACTGTGAATAAGTCGTTCTATTCTCACGCAATATAAAGCAATTAGTATTACGAAATTGTTTTAAGATGACCATCAAACAGAGACTAAAACTTACCACATTTAAACCGTGCTGGCCGATAAAATCTAAAATTCGCCATATCTCTTTTGGGACACTAATCTGATGCTCGATTGGCAATAGACTCAGATTTTCATCATGCATCACTTTAATAGGCTTTGGTAAACGTACCAATCTTTCTAAATTATTCGCAAAGCACGTGGGAACGTACTTTCCATGTATTGAGATAAAAAAGTCTTTTCCATTTTCCAAATGAAGGATCAAAATATCTTCTATTTTCTCACCGGCATTAAGTGCTGGCGCTGATATATTATCAACAGCTACAGTAAGCTTGATAGTTTCACTTTCACCTATTTTATCCGTATAATAAAAAATTATTTTTATATTCGCACTAATTTAAATGAAGCAAAGTTTTAGAACACAAATCGAAAACTCCAGAGACCAGGTAATATGAATCCGTGTGAAGGCTCAATAATGACCCAAGGTTTGCAAATATGACGCTCATCAAATTTCGGTACAAATTTGAATTTTAATATTACTTGGCCGGTATTTTCTACAGTGACTGTTTTTGTCTGTGGATCTCCCAAATATTTGATTTCGCCATAATCAAACACAGAACAGGAAACCTTTGCATCCGGCATATTATCATTCTCAAATCTATCCAGTTCTCGGACTATGCTAAGGTACACATCCTTATATTTATAAGGCAAAATTTTTTTAACCTATAAATCATCGCATAATTCATTAAAAAGATTCAACATTAAATGGCCAAGAATTATGTAAAATGTTAAAGTCTTATCACACCTTCATAGTGAATATCGCGCTGACAGGTTTGTGATCACTTTGTGCAATGTCCATGTGACTTCGGTAAGCAAGTTGCTTAATTCCATCACTTTCTTTACTTCGCCATAAAATTCGATCAGTCCACGCGGGAGCTCTCTTCTTATCGCTTAAAGAAACGAATTTGAAATATTAATTCGAAAATACCAGAAGGTTAAAATATCAGCGGAAAAAAAATTAACCTGCTGTCCCAATTATTTGTTCTGATATCATATTTATAAGTGGGAGGAAAGGTGATTCGTCCTTCTTCGAATTCATCAAATGCCCACTTATTTCTTCGTTGAATATTAAGCTATTAACCAACAAATTAAAAGATTTACAATAAATAAAACATAGATCAGACTCAATACAAGAAATTACCTGATCAAACTGTAGCAAGACATCGAGCTCTTTATTATCCCATAATTCCTTAATCTCTTCAAGTGGTAAAGCATCAATCCGATAATTCAAATCACCCATCCAAATCAGATGACTAAATAATATTATACATACATGATGTTACATATAATCGTTATGGAAGAACAGTTTACTAGTAACGTACTCAGCATCAAAAATTGTCAATGCTTTATCCGAAGGAGGGCCACCCGAAACTCCTATCATCCCTCCAATATTAGTCATTGCACTAGGTATGTTATTTTGAAACCAGTTCGATTGTGGCGCTGTTGCCGAGATAGGCGAAGTTGGAATAGGTGTTATAGGTGAGATAGGTGAAGATGGGACAGAAAATGTTGCGTTTATCGGAAAGGTTATGCGTCGGCAAATTTCAAGATAATCTTGATTCCGTCTTAGCACTTGCTTTTCATCAGCAGCCAAATGACAGTTCACAAAACATAAGGTAGAATCGTGGAATCTCATTCGAATTGAGACGCCGCCTTTATTTCCCTAGATTTTATGAATTGATCAGTCTTTTTGGTTTTTATTTAATTAATCGCAACTTTTTAGATACAGAAAAATTAAAGAAAAGCACCCAAAAAATAAAACAAGCGTATTCTTATCCTTCTCGGAAATAAAGAAATGACGCGTCCATTAAAAATATTGATATTAATGCTTGAAATTTTCTTTTGCAAAATATAAGCCATACCATCATTCCCATTATACCAACTCCAGCAGAGTCTGTTTGCACATCTTTAATGATAGTGACATGCTCTCTTCTTACAAAGATCATAAGTAGTAGACCAACCAACTGTTTGGACATGATCTATTTTCATATTAAAATAATAATAAATAATAATAAGATTAATACAAATGCCACCTTCTCACAACCTTAGACAATTGATAAACAACCTTCCAATAATCGCTAGCCCTATCTCCTAATCCTCGAGCTACAGCACGTGTCCAATCCTCCTCACGCGTACTATCATTTAATATGAACGCCTCTGCACTCAAATCTAATTCTTGGAATCTATGTCATGGAATTAAATATAAGAATACGCAGCAAAAAAACCAGAATAGAAAAAAACCAGCTTATTCTTACCCTACAGCATATATGTCTGGTTCTGTTTCGCACATTAACCAGGTATCAAGTGCATCGGACGCGAACTTGCCATTGACATTCCATGTACCAACAAATACACTTTTATCAAGCAATTAAAATAGCCCGTAAGCTTTTCTCTCACGAGATGACAAATCCAAATTCTCGTGTCAAGAATAATTACCTAATAGTCTTTTGCTCTGTGAACTCTGCCTCACGATCTAACAATCGTTTAGCCACATAATCACTCATTATGCTGTTTGATTTTATGCTGAAAGAGGTGTGAACGTCGAAATTTTGATCAGCATAATGATTTGTTACACAACAATACAAACAATTCTGAATTACTATTATCACAAAATTAAAGACATTAAAAATTCGCAAAATTATAAAAAATTAATTCTCGTGATTTTATATATTTGGGTAGAACATTTGAATATCCATTTTGTGAGTGTTTCACTTTCAAACCCACAATCATATTTTTTCTTAAACGTTTGCATTCTTTATGAGCTCTCAAGTAGTAAAAAAAGGTTACATTTCGGTGAAGGAGGATGGGTTTAAGGCGTGGATTTGGTCGAAAAGATGGATGCAACTCAGAGAACAGACACTTACGTTCCACCGTAACGAGGTACGGTCGACTACCTTTTTCCATCTCTTTACACCTTATGAGGAATTATGAAGCTAGCCTTTAACCTCTTTCTGTTCAACTAATCTTAAACCTTTTTTTTATCCTTCTCGTTCTTTCGCATTCTATAGAATACGTATCAAGCTATAGCTTTAGTTTTTCTGAAAGAAATTACAAGTGTCCAGCGTACAGATTTAAAGCCTTATTGCTTAGAAATTCAAACCAAAGATAAAACCTATTATTTATCATGCAAAAATGACGAAGAATTGTATTCATGGATGGATGAAATTTATTCGGTATGAATTCTATTAATTTTTTTGTCCTTAGGAAAAGTAACCACAAATTTCAATTCAATGTGTTTCAAAGAGATATAAAGGTTTAAGACACAATATTAATTATCAAAGTTTATACATATTAAATTTTTATGTGAATTAATTAGAGATCGCCGCTTAGTGGAGTATCTAATCCTACGAATTTCGTACATAATGTACATGTTGGATTTGATCCTGTTAGTGGTGCATTTACGGTAAGCTCACTTTGACCAACCAATTTTATTAGGAAAAATGGATTAAATGTATATTATTATTTTTTTTGATAGGGGCTCCCAGAACAATGGACAAAACTTTTGACTTCATCGGCTATTACTAAGGAAGATTATGCTAAGAATCCACAGGCCGTTTTGGACGTTTTAGAATTCTACACTGAAAATCAAAAACGTGAGCGTGAAGAATTTGGCGAGCATGGTTTTTTAGGACCAATATCCGGATTGCCGAATAATAATAATAACAATAATAATAATACTTCTGATGATAAATGGGCAGATCTATTGCCTAAAAATAATTCACTGACAGAGAAGAATAAACAGCAGATGCAGCAGCTAAACAATAATAACAACGCCACAAATGGATATGATATGTCAAAAATTTCACCAAATCACCAGTCTGGGAATGGTGGCATGAATGGTGCGAAACCAATGGATCAAAAGACATTTAATAATAATAAAACAGACACTGCGGATTCTTCGCGAAAAATGTATTATGATGATACAGTAAGTTATGAATGTCAAATCTTAATGAAAAAATGTCGATATATCTATTTATATAATTTTAATATTTTTTTAAAGCGCCCGGATCCACCCAGTCGACCACCAATTACACCCAGACCTCCACATACGCTCAGCTCACAACAATCTTCAGTCTCGACTCCAATCTCGGTAAAAGTTTTTTAGAATTTAAATTTTTATTTATTTATATATCTGACTTTTTTTTCGTACTAGGGTCAACGGATACCTGACAAATATGCAAATAATCAACAACAACAGCAGCAACAACAACAATATTATCAACAACAGCAACAGCTACAATATCAACAGCAGCAACAGCAACAACAACAGCAACAGCTGCAGCAGCAACAACAGCAGCAGCAACAATATCAACAACAGAATCAGCAGCAACAATCCTTATCGCAGCCTACTAAAAATTATCCTCAGCCACCACGCACTCCAAGTCCAAATCCCAAACCACAACCTTCAGCTCAGCCTTCTAAGCAAGCGACTCCAAACAAAACACCGCAACCTAATGCACAACCACCTGCAAAGAAAGCCACTGCTGAACGCAGAATCAGCACAATGACGGAAGCACAAATTATGGAAAAGTTGCGGTCTGTAGTCTCGTCAGGCGACCCTACAACTTTATACAATAAAATCAGGAAGGTTGGACAAGGGTAAGTTACTATCTTTAGTTATTTTACAATTTTTCCATTTATAAATATCAAAATTAATATGATTTAATTTTTCTTCATTAGCGCGTCTGGTTCAGTATATGTTGCTAAATCTCTTACCACTAATGCAAAAGTTGCTATAAAACAAATGGATCTTTCTCATCAACCTCGAAAAGAATTGATTGTAAATGAAATTTTGGTAATGAAAGAATCTCAGCACCCAAATATTGTAAATTATCTAGATTCATTTTTAGTCAAAGGAAATGAATTATGGGTAGTAATGGAATATATGGAGGGTGGCGCTTTGACCGATGTAATCGATAATAATTCATTAGAGGAAGACCAAATTGCTTCCATTTGTTTTGAGGTATGTTTATTAATGACGATGAAATTGGTATTCGAATTAAAATGGGGATAATTCATTTTTTTATTCAAATAATTAGACATGTAAAGGTCTTCAACATCTTCACGGTCAAAATATCATCCATCGCGATATTAAAAGTGATAACGTTTTATTGGATGCTTATGGCCACGTTAAAATTAGTACGTTTAAGATTTTTATCATTTACATTATGAAATTCTGAAAGAATTTTTTTTTATAAATCCTGATTAATATTTCTTTTTTTTTCATTTAGCCGATTTTGGTTTTTGCGCCAAACTTACAGACCAAAAAAATAAACGAGCAACCATGGTTGGTACTCCATATTGGATGGCACCTGAAGTTGTCAAGCAAAAGGAATATGGGGCCAAAGTAGACATTTGGTCACTTGGTATAATGGCAATTGAAATGATAGAGAATGAGCCACCATACTTGGATGAAGAACCATTAAAAGCATTATATTTGATCGCTACAAATGGAACTCCAACATTAAAAAAGCCAGAAAAATTATCTCAAGAGCTTAAAAGCTTTTTGGCCGTATGTTTATGCGTAGATGTTAAAAGTAGAGCAACTGCTTTGGAACTTTTAGATGTAAGTGATTTATTTACAAGTTATTAGAATTTTTGATTTACAGTACATTTTATTAATCAAGTTCGTGTATTTCTTTTAATAGCACGAGTTCCTTAAAAAATCATGCCCACTTTCGGATTTGGCACCTTTACTAAAATTCAAAACGGCAAAAGATGGTAGAGCATAATGCAGTTCACTCGCATATCATCAGTTTTAAGGGATCAGATAAGGCTTTTATCTGTCTTTGCCATTCAATAACGAAACCTGCCACCACTTCTTCATTTCGTATCTTTTTATATTGGCACATTATTCTCTACTAGACTTTCCATAAAATGTCGGTTCGCTTTAAAAATTGTCTAAATTTTATGTTAGGGAAAAAATTATCTAACCTTGAAAAGCGTCAGCGGATTACACAATTATTTATTTTTTATCTCCATGGGACTATATATATTAGACTTAATTTGGACGTGAATTATTTTATTTATTATATTTTATATATTATAATCAATTAGTGGCGTTTTATTATATCGCCTTGTTTTTTTATTTGTTGTATATACTTATTACCAATATTCTATATATATATATATAATATATATCTTTAGCAAGGATTGTGAAAAATATATCATAATCACCATAATTACAACAGCCACAATAATAATAATAATAATAATAATAATCAATTATCATAATATTAATCAAAAATTATTTCTGGTGTTCAATAAAAAAAATCCTTTTACACTATCATGATAAATAAATTAATTTTTTATTTATAACCTTAAAAGTTCAATCAATATCCACCCCCAATTAACTGTTAATACTATTTTCCAAACTCAAAATATCGGTATATAATTATTAATTCGTTCCTTTTGACCTTGACTAATACACTCAGCGATCCACAAAATGTTTCGTATTTCCTGCTCTTTTAATTTGAGAAATGCGTAGAAAATAGCATAGTGAAATTGTTGTTGAAAAGTGAGTTTATTGAGATGCACTTCATATTCGAAAAAACGATCTTCTAGAGTTTTGGTCTCTGAAGATGTGATTGAAGTCTCAAAGAATTGACGATATTCCTATACGAAGGTTTAATTTTACATAAGCAAAACTAAACAGATAGTAAAAAAACGAATCTTTTGATTGAAAAACTTACCGTCCAAACTTCAACTACACTTTTAACTTGTTCTGGGTCATCTGCACGCAATAATTTAGCGTGACCATCAGGATATAGTCGACCGAGACTTGGAAACAGCTTTCCCCGATCGTCTCTTGATAATTCGGTGTTGAATGAATTAATGGTGATATTAATTGTTCGACGATCCGCTTCAAACTAGTATTATTATAGCAAGAAAGAAATACAAATATCATCAGCAAACCCGTAATAGATGAAATTTCCTGGAAACAGTTATTACTAAAATATATAAAAGGGAAAAACAACTTTATACCTCTAGAATTTCACACATTAACTCTCCTGTAGTGCCTCCAAGTTCCTTGCAGTATCTATAAAAGTCTTCGAGATAAGCTTTGTATAGAGTATTTCGAATGAGCTCGATATTCATTTCGTCAAGATCATTTGCGGATAAACAGTTTTTAAAATAAGCAGCTTTTGGAAAGATGCGAAAGGATTATTTCAAAAATAATTTCGGAAATATGAACCATGTCAATTGTAAATATGTAAAAAAAAAAATTACCAAGGGGAGTCTCAATTAATACAGTATCGTATAATTCAGCTACATTGGTTGCTACACATAGAGCAGGCATTGAATCAAAAATACCGAGTGGATGGCACCGTTCGAGTAATTCGTGAGTATCACGTTCATGTAAAGTCCCAGTTATCAGAAGAATGACATTATCAATCATGTAAGCATAACTATTGTAGCAAAACGAAAAACCAGAATCAATTAACTAAACGGGAATCAAATCAACTATACGTTAAGAGACAGAAATATTTATTGTATAAAACCTTAATTGCATACGTTAAATAATCCAAAAATTTTGTTAAGGGTGCGACAGCGTTTTCACGTACATATTTGAACTCTGAAACTAACTTCTCGGTGGCTTTTTCGGAAATGGTAGAAGTTGCCAAAGGTGAAGGCTCATTCGAAAGAAAATTCCCATAATCGGTTGCACTGAGCTGTAATTTCAAATCTTGTGAAAAAAATGTAAGGATGGGATCAAAAGCTGTAAGTATCATATGCTACGAAATACTGGTCGTTAAGAAATGGTGGGTGCGTGTTTTACCTTCCAAAGTTTCACATTGAGTTAAATTAAGATAATTTGTTTGGTTAAGAATTGCACTTTTATAGCCTCGTACAATTCCTTCAAGATAGCCGTCATTAACGTTGAAATAAAGACATTCCATTTGTGAATATGTGAATAATTGTTGATACAAATATAAGTGCAGAAGATTAGAAGATTATCGCTATGAGATGAGCGTTAAAGCGTTGAAACAAGGTAGTGGATTAAATGCAATCCGGATCAAGTCAACTTGGATTAAAGAACCACATGATAATGACTATGTTAAATCAGGTGATCTTTTCGGGCCAGTGCCGGAAAGATCACCTGATTCAGTACTGTCCCCAAGCGAATAAGGCAAAAATTTCGAGATTGTCCGAATACTCTTACTATCCATCTACACGTCAGATGTCTTCCTAGAAACTGGACTATCCTGTGGCTATACAACGTAGATGGATGTTCTCAAAGTTATTTTTTCGAAAGCTTATGAGGAAGAGGCAACTTGCTAATGTAAAAATTCTTGATCCGGTTCTTATAATTATTCCGAATCAGAATTGGATCCATCAGCAACGAATCACGCTGTTATGGACAGTTTCGCAAAAGATGGTCTTCAAAATAAACGCAGAGATGTTAACCCCCGTTCAAGCGCTAATCCCTAATGCTCGATTTTAACAAATGTAAAAGTGACTTTGGAGAAGATCATAAATTTCTTTTATTCTCCTTGACAAGAACCTATCATTTGTTATTTTTTCAGTCAACTATTGTGTGATGAGTTCTTATGTAATTTACTGCTATCAATAAACTTATAAGGTCTATCCCTAAAGTATAAGTCAGAGTTAATTATAATTCAGAGTTGTAATAATTTCAAGCATTTTTGATCAGTATGAATACTTGTTTTCATATCAAAGTTTTCTGGTCTAAATCATTTCAACCACTTAAATGGGAAGTTTATTTTGACATGTGATTTTAACTTTCAAATGATTATATATTTTTGGGATAGCAAGACGGTTTAGAACTTGTCCGCATCTTACAGTCCAGGATCAGGATCTAACTAAACTGAATGACAACCTATCTGCAGAGAACAAGTAGTTAAAGGCAGCGTATGAAAACAATAAGGAGGATCAAGTCCAAATAAAAAACCAACAAGGACAATCTCGATGAACACGAGAGAATTATAATATAAAAACTACGAATACTTAGTTCTTGAAACTTCTCCAGACTTAGGGGTGGTTTATAAACTTTGAGGCAAAAAGAGATCTATAAACATTAACTGAGATAACTAGAAAAAATTCTCAAATTCTGTCTAGAAAGGCAATCTTTTGTGAATATTGGATTATTTTTGTATAAATCTTCCGACAAATCGGCATGGATGCTTATAAACTTATAAATGGCGATTTAGGTAGTGCTTATTTTGAGTCATTATTTATTATAACCTTGTATGTAATAACAGACTATTCGATACTCCTATTATATTTGAAAATAAATTAAGTACATTATTAAACATCTTTTTATTCTAAAGGATATTATTGAACTTTGCTAATTTGTATAAATAAAAATTTCAAACTTAATTAGTTTTTTATTTAAGATACACAAATTACGCGTAGCTTAAATAGGTCAACTTCCGTCTGATACGTTTGCCGGGCGGTTTTAAGTATTCCAATTCCCAAAAAGTGAAAATCTCGAAATGAAGTTCGCCCCCATAAAAAGATTGGAATAAAGCATCTTCCAAGCTTATAATCTAATTTGATTCCCCGATTGTTTCTTATAAACGAATACCTTTTAAATAAAAATTTTACTGATAAATTTATAATGTACCATAACAAAAGACAAAATGATCAAGTATATTTTTATTATTACCTGACAACCACAAGTTGTTAAGAACGCAGCATAAATGACAGCTGCCAAATAACATGCACTTGCCACTGCATGAGGATCATCAGGATCGTGAGTAGACTCTGTTAAACTTTCAACTTCTGCATCAAAAAGAGCACCAAGAACAACCTTATTATTAATACGCAATAGAAAATGGTACTTATATTTTAGCATCATAAAGGCTTGAAAAAAAAATCGACTGACTAAAAGAAGGTTACAAACCAGAAAAATAACACCCGCTGCACTAAGACCAGTACAAAATATGGAAAGGGTAGGATTAATAAATGCTAATTTTACCATCCTTATTATTACACTTGAGAACTGCAAAGATGAGATAGAGTTCGAGATATATCAATATTTTTGTATGATACACGTGATGGTCTGATTTTTATGGTGTTCCTTTACAATCGAACGAAAATCCTTGAAAAATGTCTTCTGTTGAAAAAGCTTCCAATTTGAGCGAGAATACACCAACTGTACGCTCGCCTTTTATAATAGGTGTTGCCGGTGGTTCAGCTAGTGGCAAGGTAAATTGGAGTAGTAGTTAAAGAATGAAGGCTTACTAATAATAACCTGTAATGTATGTATTTACTTAGCTTCCACAAGATTAGGATTTTAATTTAATACCCACCTAAATTCAACTTAAAATTTCAAAGAAGATTGATTCAATAATTGATTTGCATGTAAATTAATATCATCCTCATTATTCTGCTTCTTTATTATAAAATATTAGAAAACAGTATGTGACATGATTATTGAACGGCTCCGTAAACACGCAAACGCTGTTCGTGAAGTGGTCGTAATGAGTTTGGGTGATTTTTATCGGGAATTTAGTGAAGAAGAAAAAGAATTGGCTAAAAAAGGAGAATTCAATTTTGATCATCCAAGTGAGAAAGAATATTAGAAAAAAAAATGATTATAACACATTCTCTCTTATTCATCCCATATTTTGGAAACGTAAAAAAGATGCGTTTGATTTCGATCTAGTTGAAAAAGTTATTGAAGACTTAAAAGCCGGAAAAGCAGTAACGTTGCCTTCTTATGATTTTGACACTAGAACAAGGTTTCGACCATATCTTTATTATTATTCGTATATTAATTTATTATATTATTGTTAACATTTCATATTTTCACATTGGATATTGAAAGAAACCCGTCGGCACAGCATATATCACCGCCAGATGTCGTTTTATTTGAAGGAATTTTAATTTTATACGAAAAAAGAATACGTGATTCATTTTCACTAAAAATATTCGTAGATGTTGATAGTGACATTAGATTAGCACAGAGAGGTATATTAATATTACGCTGTTGTTGATATAAGATTATTGAAATAATTTAATATGAAATATTATATTTATTCTTTAGTACTTCAGGATACTGAGCAAAGACATCATTATCCGTTAGAACAAGTTTTAAATCAATATATTAAATATGTAAAACCAGCATATGAAGATTTTGTCTTGCCGGTAATGACAAATGATTCTATTTTACCTTGTTTATTACTATTTATTATAATATTTATTATGCCAAATATTAATACCACAAATACATATATATATAGACGAAAAAAACATCAGATGTCATTATACCAAGAGGAGCTGATAACGTCGCAGCTATTGATTTGATTACATCACATATTGAAGATGTGTTAAGAGAGGATAAATCAAAAAATCGATTACGAACTAACAGCATCAGTAGTATTAATAGTAATACTGCTACTACTGAAGGAGATGATGACATAAGATCCAACATTACTAGTAACAAACCAACTTCTGCTGTATTGAGTACGACGCCACCTCTTTACTTGTCGGTTCCTAGATGATGAATAATAAGAATAAATAAATAAATACTGGATTACCGTGTAATTTAGGTTAGCAACGAGATAGGATAGGACTACACTATAGCATCTACAAATAAATTAATAATTAATAATCATAATTTACGGATCACTAAAATTGGTGATCCGTAAATCCAGCGTTCCCGAAGAGAAGGATCCTGATTGGTTTTGAATAGGGCTTATTATTCTAATTACTAGGGTTATATACTCAATACCAATGACTCAGTCCAACCTTCGATGAGTCCATTTAATGGAAATAATTAATGCAAATGCACAGTCAATTAATCTACTAAGATTTAAAGAGAATTTCTTCCTCTTATGTCTTGTGTAACCAATTTGGTCCATATAGGGAGATTTCGTCTTGGAGAATTTTACTATGAAATAGGTTGGCAGAATTGACATTCGCAAGATAATTTTAGCAGTTTTTCATTTTTTTATTAGCGAAATTAATAATTATTTTTGATGGCAATTTTTTTCTGTGCAGGATTAAACATATGATCGTTTCTCCACAATTTACTAAAAGTATTTTGAGAAAATTTTATGTTTACGAGCCACACATACGCTAAAATCACGTTGGCGACGCTGGGAATGCCCAGCGCTGTTTGTGGCGGTTAACAACTTTTGTCCCCTGAAATGTAATGCAGATATTAATCTTACGAGTACATCTGTTATAAACTATGCATTATCACACTTAAAAAAGAAATTATCTCTTGATAATTCTTAATTCTTATTTATCCGTTATTTCTTTCTGCGTGCCTATCTGTCCATTTCTTTTCCCCTACGCGTGATTTTGAAAGCTTCGCGCGAATATTTTATTATATAGAGCCTAGTAGAAAACCTTGACGTTTATCATCTATCTCTCTTTTACTTATACACTTTGAAAGATGCTCGAAGCTCATTCACGTGAAGACTATGTGTATCTAGCAAAGCTTGCTGAACAAGCTGAGCGCTACGAAGGTGAGCGAGTGAGGGAGGTTGATGAAGGTTATCCCTTGATTAGTATTTAGATTTCGTTTTTTCTGTGTATGTATGTGATGAGTCGATGTGTTTGATAACATGCGTAATGCATCTAATCTTACTCGGTCTTGTTAAGCTTAACAAGTTAAATAAAATTTGTTTGGGATTTGATTTCTAGAGATTCGATCAAACCCGACATTTTTAAAAATATTTTCAAATTTATTAATAGTAGTAATTGGCGAGTATACTCGTCATAGTATAGTAATCGTTATATTATCATCATCATCATCATCAACATCATCATCATCCACCATTTCCCCAAGAAAATTTATTCTTTCATGAACCAATCGAAAAAAACTTTCCATTTTATAACATTACAGAAATGGTAGAAAACATGAAGCAAGTCGCCTCTGCGGACCAAGAACTCACCGTCGAGGAACGTAACTTGCTCTCTGTTGCCTATAAAAATGTAATTGGAGCGAGACGTGCTTCGTGGCGTATTGTATCTGCAATCGAACAGAAAGAAGAGACCAAAGGCAATAAGACCCAAGTTGGACACATCAAGGAATATCGTATAAAGATAGAAAATGAATTAGCAAAGATATGTGAAGACATTCTAAATGTGTTGGATGTTCATTTAATCCCGTCAGCTGCAACCGGTGAATCTAAAGTATTTTATCATAAAATGTAAGTCTATGTGCCTTAACGCGTGATGTTTCAATTTCATCTACTAGCTTTATTAATTGATTTCCTATCCTATGACAATATATAGGAAAGGTGATTATCACCGATACCTTGCAGAATTCGCCACCGGGGAAAAACGTAAGGCATCCGCAGACAAATCCTTGGAAGCATACAAAGCCGCAAGTGAAATCGCCGTTACCGAGCTTGCACCTACTCATCCAATTCGTCTTGGTCTAGCGTTAAACTTTTCCGTATTCTATTTTGAGATTCTCGATTCTCCTAGTAACGCTTGTCAATTGGCTCAGCAAGCATTTGATGACGCTATCGCCGAATTGGATACACTTAATGAAGAGAGTTACAGAGACTCAACATTAATCATGCAACTATTGCGAGACAATCTGACACTCTGGACTTCGGATAAACGAGAGAACAGTATGTTTGTTTTTCAGTGAATCTTTATTAATCATCATCTGATCAAACTAAATAATAATGGGTAATAAAAATAGGTGAGAAGACTGATGCTGTCAAGGACGAAGAAACTCCTCAAACCAAAGAAGAGCCTTAAGACGTTTATAACAATTAGAGAATAATTTAATTTATTTGGTTCATCACTTCTTTGCATTTTATACAAGTTGCTTATTATGGTTACGACACCGTAATATATAAACATCTCGCATTCTTTTCTATGCTATACTTTAACCCCTCCGCTTCCATCTGCCACCTTTGTTGTTCCTTCAATAATGACCACAAATAAAAGATTATTAAAATAATCCGCAAACAACTATGGTTTTTTTGAACTATTTTGGTTTGTTAACGGTCTAAAAATGATCACTGTGTTAATGAATTTTCTGCATCAGAGCAAAAAATGCAGGGTCAAACAAAAAATGGTAGTGTAACCTGCCATTTGGGGTACTTTATATCCAATGACACAAATTGTTGATATATTGATAGTTATATTAATAATGAATAAATGTGTATGTAAAAATAAATACGCGGCATCACCTTTTGGTAGTACTTTTTTTCTTTTTCTTTAACTGTTTTCTTGTTTCGTATTGGGTGGCCTAACTCAACACAAGTTACTCTAAAGGACAATATAATCGAGTGCGCAAAGGCCATCTTTAGTAGTCTTTGGTTCAAGGCGGAAGCAGAAGCGTAGATTGTTGCGTGTTGACGAAGCAGTAGTCAGTAGTAGAAGGAAGGGGTTTATTAGCAATTTGTGCAAAAGCGGCAGAGTCCTTTCCATTTTATTATATCTCACTTCCCACTCCACACTGTTACTTGTTATTACTAGACACACACATACACATATATAATATTAAAGTTTAGTCCTCCCATCACTTTTTCTTTTGTACTTGTACCTTTACCTTCAGTAAGACACATCACTTCTATTCACTCTCTAAATATAAATCGCATTTTCTTAATCTCATAAAATTAACAACTGAGAGCAAAAATGTCTTTTGCTAGAAGAGGCTGTTTCAAGTGTGGTAACGGTACGTAACAAATTTCATCTCTTCGTTACTTGGCACTCGGCACTCAAAAAAAAATAATTATGGTTGAGAGTTAGTTACTGATCTGAAAATTTTTTAGTTGGACATTTTGCCGACGCGTGTCCCGAACCCGAAAGACTTTGCTATAATTGTAAACAACCTGGCCACGAGGCGAGTTTGTGCCCTCAACCCAGAACTGCCGATGCTAAACAATGTTACTCGTGTGGTAGCGGTACGTAATTGAATTAAATAATGAATTGGGATTATTAAAAAATCTTTATCGCCTAGCATATATTTATCATTTGCGATTCCAATTTCACGTATGATGTATACGATTCGATAGTAACGTTTATTTTAATGTAATTCTATAAAAAACAATGAATATTTAGTTGGACACCTTCAAGCTGATTGCTCCTCTGTTCGTGTTAACGGTAATGGGGTTGACCGAGTTGACAGAGGGGATCGAGGTGACAGAGGTGGTTATGGTGGTGGTGGCGGCGGCGGAGGCGGTCGTTGCTATAATTGCGGGCGCTTTGTAAGTACAACTTAATTTTTTTGATGCAAGATTATCATCTATCCGAAATTATTTATTTGTTATTGTATTATTCTTAGGGTCATTTAGCTCGTAATTGTAATGGTGGTGGATATGGCGGTGGTGGAGGATATGGAAGTAACCGCGGTGGATCCCGCGGAGGAGGTGGTTATGGTGGAGGTGGTAACCGCGTAATCTGCTATAAATGTGGTGGTTTCAACCATTATGCAAAAGACTGCCAAGCAAATGGCGTAAAATGCTATAATTGTGGGCGATTTGGTCATATCGTACGTATCTTGGTACAAAATATATCTTTTTATCTTCTACGAACATTTTGTCGGTCTAATCAACGAATTCCCATCTATACAAAAATAGTCCCGCGAGTGTCCAACCGCCCAAAGTCCCGACAAGTCTGTGAAAACTTGTTACCGTTGTGGTGAACGAGGTCACATTGTAAGTAAACAATAAAATTTATCATCTCACCTTGTCAAATATATCTTGAAATTATAACGATTTTATATTGAATACTTTTTATTCTATAGTCGAAGGATTGTAATAGCAGCGTCCAAGCAAACTAAAGATAAAAAATAATTGTTGGATCATCACCATTGCATATTCCGACAACACATCGTTATTTTTTTAATTAATTTTTGCATATATAATTTCTTACGCCCGATTATTCTGTTGATTTGAAATAATATTGATTTTTCTCGATGATATTTATTTGCACCCGAATATCAAGAAGAAAAGAGTATACATATACATATATATATATAAACCCCCTCCCCTCCCCCACATTAAAGCTTTAATATCCACACACACGTGTATTATATGTGTGTGTGTGTGTATATATATAGTTAAAATATCCTCTCTCTATTCCTCTATCTAAACTTGCTATATATAATTATAATTTTATACTATTTTTTATAATGTTACTTAATGAGTAGTAATGGTGGATGATGAGACGATGGTGCAAAGCTTATTCATATCTTGGAATTCTCTCACCCGAATATATACAAATATATATATATATATATATATATGTGTGTGCGTGTATATATATATATATATATATATATTGTTAAGTAAATTTAAAAAAAGTAATTAAATTTGCAGAATATAATAATAATAGAATAATGATTCAATTCATTGTGAAATTCATTTTGAAAGACAACACGAATTTAAGCATGCAAGTATACATACAGTTGGGGGATATTACACGAGGAAGGTCTAGATTCAAAAATCATTTAAGTGGCAGCAATAACATTATTATTATTACCAGTACTATCAGTAGTCATTGAAGCATCACTGGTAATATATTTTTCCATTGAGGGTGCACTCAAAGAAATAACGCGTCCATCATCATCAGTGGTCAGTGAAAAATCGACAACTTGCCAATTTTGTCCGTGACCACGACGAATAGAATGAAAGTGTACAGTTCCTTTACCTGTTCGAATATCATAGATAGAGCATTAATAGATACATAGACCCGATATACCACAAAAAGTATTAGATTACCTTTTTCGCCCTTTACCCGAAACCAAACATTAATACGTCCTTTTAAATGATTAATCGTTCCGGAAATCCAAGGCCAAGCAGAAGCAAAATTAATAGTATCGCCTAGAACCGCACGAGCTTCTTCACTATATCTCACATTAAACATACACCCTTGTATTGCACTTGTTGACTGTCGCTCGTGGTTCCAGGCAACAGCTACAGCAACGATCCAGACAGTAACGCCAAGCGCACCATAAATTATGTAACGCGTTTTTGTTACAAGTGTTGGAAGAGAATTTCGGGTGCGTATGGATTTGTGTTTAACTGGAGGATTGCTAGACTTTGAGGACGTCGTTGATGGAGGTCTTGTCGGTGTCGTTGAGAAAAATGCGCGTCTGCAGGGATAGGAGAAATAAGTGTTGTGATAGTTAGTAGTAATAAAACAGCCTATACAGCCCTTGCGTGTTGAAGTCGAGAACGTTTTGAGGGTGGGATTCGAATAATAGTAAATATTTTTGCATTTTGATAAAAGTCGTAAGAACGGTTTTTGCTGTATTTTCGCAAACACCATTATTTTCAAATAGATGCGAGTCAAAATGAATTTCAGATTATCATTTATTAAATTAAAAATAACCGCCAAAGAATTGAAATTGTAAATCTACATGAAAGTATTATTGGAAAGCTGCCCAAATATAAAATTCTATTTTACAAAAGGTTTAATCTTTTTTTTAAGGTTTAAAGAGGAAATATTAAAATTTACAGAATCTACTATCTAAGGGATACATGTTGCGTATGAAGGTATCTTACTATGGAATAAGCAGGTCATGTAGAAAAATTATCATACGTTAAACTGTTCATCCACATTTCAACCAAAAAAGTGGAAAACACAAATCTAGGGGTTAATTTAAAAATAGACGAATAAACGGAAGAAGGAATTTGACGATCAACGACCAAATAACGAAGACCATTGCGGAGGAATTCTCCAACCGTGCTGATTTGCGACACGAATATATGCGTCCATAGCCTCCTGCAATAAATTAAGTAAAAATAATTTTAATAATGATCCATAAAGAATAATAAGTTGAGGAGATATAGTTGTTAGGGAATTGCTTACACTTGGACTATATTCACTGTTCCAATACCTTGGATCCAGTCTTGCGGGTTTAGGTTCCAAAGAACTTAGAGCAATTTTAACCTAAAATAAATGTTGATTTGAATTTTATATTAATGATTATTCAAAAGTAAAAGGCTCTTTTCCTTCTATAGGTTACCTGTAGCAAGACCGATTCCATCGTATATACCGAAGACCAGCCACGCTCTGTATTATTGCCAAGCGTTAATAGATCCATGCAAATAGAACCACCAGCTGTCACCTATATTAATTTTAAAAAAGTTGAACATAAGAATGGAATTGCTAAAATCTGCGAAAAAATTTAAACTTACATGTCCACCCCCTCCTTCCATGAACCTCAGCAATCTTGGGCGAATTACTCGAATATACCTTTAAAATAGAAAAGAATATCTTTGAGGTCACCAAAGAAAAAGCATCAATCAATTTTATGCTATTTAGAATGACATTAAATCACATACGGCGGTACGAATGGATAATCAGGGGCAAATCGGACTTCCATATCAATAGTCTTGACTTTGTATTTCTTCATATCTTGTGCTAGAGGCAATGATGAATCAAAATCTTTCATTTGTATAACCTATTCATTCGTATAGAAACATCAATGTTTTCTTGTAATTTTAAAATAATAACCAAGAAATAACGGAACTTAATTTACCCATTGATACATAGACTGCAGCATATCCGTATTTATTGAAAATGAGAGATCATTATTTGGTTCGCTTTGTTTCTGTACTATTTGACGCAGCTCTTTACATATTCTTTGAGTCGCTGTTTTAGATGACTCAGCTAATTAAATAGAGATATTGTGATAAATATTAAGTTCACAGTATACTTTGTGCAGAAATGTAGCAAATAAAAATACCTGGAAGTGGTAATAATGATGGATCAAAACCGTCATCTAAAAATGAAAGAATAGTTATTAGTCAACTGCGCTTGAATAATTAATTTTAATGAATATTTACCAATTTCAATGCGTTGTTCATATTTTTTCGAGGGTTCAGGTTCTTTGAAATTGAAGGTATCATCATCATCATCATCATCATCATCATTTTCGTAATAATCGTCGTAATCCATGTCCTCGTCTTCATCATCTTCATCAATTTCTTCATCATCAGAATAATCGCGAGCTTTACCTTTGTCTTTTGATGTTTTAGATAGATGTGCGTCTTCATTTTCTGACTCATCTTCCACTTCATTATCATAATCATCCTCATCTTCTAAAATGTCATCTTCAGATAATGATCCATTCAGAATCGCTGCTGCAGTTCCTGCAACAGCATTATTAAATTGATAATGGAATGGTCCAATTCCTCTTGAACTATCTTCTGGATATTCATTGGCAATTATCAAGAAATCCCGTTTTGGTATTTGTAAAGGATGATTGTTGAACCATACTGGGGTGTATTGTGTGTCCAATCTTATGAATTCGAGGATTTTTTCTCTGTGGTTTCTTTGTCGTAGAGAAGAAAAAGGATTCGTGATTGTCTTCTTAAAAGATTTGCGCATCGAGTTGACTTGTGCAGTAGAATTAGGTACATAGACAAAAGAGTATTCCTCATCTTCACCCTCACTTGTTGGCTCTAATGGATTTCGCAAACATTCAACGAAAAGATAACGTGTCGTTATCCATGATTCGCCGGGTACGACAAGATGAGGACTCGTACTGAAAAACAAATTTAATTAGCTATGATAAAGAAATACATAGAAAATTCCCTCGAATATTAATCAATTTATCACCTTGTGAATTGTGATGGTCTATTAACGATTTCGCTTAAAGCCATACATTTTGTGACAACTAGCATGGAATTTTTCCATACGCCCACATCATATTTATGATAAGGTGCTCCAGCGTAGGAAGCCGAAGTCGCAGCTTGAAGTGAATGATAAACACCATCACCATATGCTCGGCCATGAAGCACTCGCTTCCAATTAAGACTTGTACTGGATTATTACAGAAATCATAACATTTTGAGATATTAAATTTTACACGAAATTAATAAATTAAGATAATAAATATAATCTTTACCGAATGATCGAGTGCCAATTATTTAAAGGTGAGCCATGGAAAGCGTATAATTCTCCCAAGCCTTGTATTGTAAAATGCGCAGAATTATTAAGAAATAAAGGATGCGAAAGTGAATGATAAATAAGAAATCTTATTACTTTGACCAACTCTTTCTCTTCGTAATCTTTCTTTTTCACGCTGGAATTCTTGTTCTTTCTCTGGAGAACTCATGATCATCACAAATTGTTTCCAATTCGAATATGCTGTTGTCGCTCCCTCATTGAACTGTACTTTTTCCTCGTTAGATTCAAGTAACCGCAAATGTGTTCGATTCGAGGAGATAATCCAAGACAAAAGAGGGAAGCATAATAGATCTAATTGGTCCAATTCTGCTTTGAGTGTCTTCTTTTTGGCATATTCTACCATTACATTCACACTAGGTAAACGATCTATGACTGTTTGCAAAAGTGTATAATTTGGGGTGTCGTCAACAGAGAGAAAATTGCATTCCGTACGACGAAGTAAACGGAATGGTAAATATACAGGTTTATTGGGTGCAGCAGAAATAGGGAAAACGATAGGGAAATCTGTGATCAGATAGTTCGAATAGACCTCCAGTACTCGAACTGTAGTAGCTGTATTGGATCGATTCACAGGAAATGGTTGCTTTGTGTCGGGATTATAGACCTCAAGCAAGTCATTTTGTTTCACTTTGTTATCGAAATTTTTCCATCCGTGCACCTGATATCCAGTAGTTGCCGGTGTTCCAATAGTCCCAGTAGTTTCGCTCCATTCTACTGCCAATGTATTCTCTCCATCAAGTTTACTTGTTGTGGTGACACCAATAGCTTTAGTCGGAGCTGGACTTAAATTTTGTGCCTGGATAGCTACATAGCACAAAGATATCAATAAATCGACCACCACCGGGCTATTCACTAATACCGCCTCGAACAGATTGCCAAGTCCCACTAATGATTGATGTTGACACAGTGGAGTCCCACAAACAAATGGCCGGATAGAAGACACAGATTCACCGTGTGGATAATGACAAGTAAGACAATACTTAGTGGAGAGTAAAATTCTTCGACGAAGAAAACGTAATACAATTAATAGAAAATTTTGATTTTTAACAGCGCTAGCATGTTCACTCTTTTCTGCTTCGAAAAAGCATAATTGACCATGCGACTCTTGTTCAAAAAGAAGATGCCTGTCAATTTTTCCATCATATAAGTAATTATGCATCATATTCTTATTTCGCATAAGGTCTGCTTGTTCAGCGCCGCCCCAACTAACACCAAACCATATACAATCGCATAACATATCAAAAAATTTGCTACGTAATAACTCGGTTAAGGTCCACGACAACACAAAATGATCACTTTCCAGAAAATCGTCTTTGTGATGTGATTGACTGAAAACTCCTCTTTGCTGAGATGACGTCAAAACGGTGTATTTTATATTATATTGCTTTTTTAATAAGTCCTTCAATGCCGGATATCCTCCTCCCCCCTCTTTGAATACGTGTGAATGAATTCTATAAGCATTTTTTACTTCATTCTCCAAATCAATATAACTTTTTGTGAATTGCATTGTGCACACAATATATCTGTATATATACATTATAAAGATTAATGAAGAATTCATGAAGTTCATTATTAAGTAATGTTATATTAAAAATAATAACCGATCTGGCTCCAGGTTCCATGCCTCGCATGCTTCTAAACTTAGACCAAGTCGAGTAACGGGCATCGAGATTGTCACTTTGTACCCCATATTATCCGCACAAAGAAGCTCTCCGAAATAACTAGATGAATAGCGGAAATAATAATAATTTTTAATTTATTTTCACAAGAAAATACAATTCAAAATCAAAAAGTTCTTACTTCCAGTGTTTCAATTCAGCGAGATCCCTTTGCAGTAACATGGAAGGTGTCAATTTGACAGGAATCAACGATTTTTGAATAGGATGGTAGAAAGCGGTAGAGTTATTTGCGGATCCACCAAACTGTCGCAATAAATTAACTGATAGTTCTTTAGGGAGATTAAGTCGAAAGTGTTCACATAGCAAACGCGTAAGAATAGCGACTATTTCGCCCACAGATTTATTTTCAATGCTAGCTTTTTGTAGGAGTTCAGCAGCTAATAATATTAAAAGAATTAAAATTGATCTCCTTGAAATCCATCATTAATTGGAATAACTTTATTAATAAATACCAGCATTAGATTCTTTATCTGTTCCGCCATCTACACAAATAAATCCGCTAAATTTTGTTGGGTACAGCGACAAAGAAGAATCTGGCAGGAATATTTAAACATATGCAATTTATTAATTACAACACTTTAGGTAATTCAAGAGCAACGGTGCTATATATTACCATTAACAAATATTTGAATGGTAAAAAATTTGCGAGGCTTGTATTGAAATTGAAAATTAAGTTCTGGATCTTGAAAATCAAAACCTATTTATTGAATTCGAAATCGAAAAATGATTAGCAAGTAAATAATCTTGTTTGGTATCGATCCAAGTGAAACCATGTGTCTACCTTTTATCAAGGCATTATTTCTTGAATTCAACCCGTTTAAATAATCTTTTAATTTCTTTACATCTTGTACAAACTCCTTTCGTCCCATGGTTTATATTTTTCCTGCGGTTAGAGTAGAAATGTATAATGACAAGACAATGTGTGAAATCACGAGCTGATAAAACTACAACTTATAGACAAATCACAAGGAAAGGTCAAACTTATAAATGAATAAGCAATGGCTCAAGTAATCTAGAATTCAATGAAATGATTTATAATTTCATAAAAGAAACACTAGGAATGAACACTATTTCTATATACAATACGAAAGTTCAAGTAGTATCTATATTAAAAGAATCAAATCCAAATATTGCGTAAAAGCGATAAAAATTGGCAAATGCCCAGGATCTATCTAAGTACCTCTAAGGATTAAGCACAGAGTAACAAAGACGAGTTATCAGTTTAAGTACAAAAGCAAAAGGTACTTACGACAAGGAAAAGATAATATAGAGACGGGAAAGGATTGAAAATAGTATACTTTATATACTCGCGTCTTTTTTAGCTAATGAATCAACTTCGACCACTGTTTTTATGATTGTTTAGTCCGGAACTCCGGATAATGATTGTAATAATAAACTAACTTCCTTTAATTTTTATTGATTGCGCCATGTCATTGCTTTCATTTTCCGGAAATTTTCTTTTCACGCAGTAAATTTGTCACGTGATTAATTTAATTGTGTTTTTCGAGTAATTGTATCGAATATAATATATCGATGTTGCTTATTTATTTTCGAGAATAAATCATTATACTTTTTAAAAGATTAAGGCTATTTTTATATTGTATATCGTCCAATTTATATGCTAAAAAAATCCCAAACGCCCAAATCAGATTTTACAAGTCATTAAGAATGTTTAGAATGTTTGAATCACTATCCCCACACATCAACGTAACCAAAAGATGATATAAGAAGAAAAAAAAGCAAATTATCTTTACAAGAAACAAAGAAAATGCATAAAGAAAATTTGTAAAATTTATAAGAAAAATAACTAAGAAAAAAAATAAAGTAAAAGCATTCATATATTTACTAACATTATTATTGAAAAAGAAAAATGGCACTAAATGTAAAGAATAGATAAAAGAAAAAGGAAAAAGAATAAAAATAGAAAAGATAAAAATAAAAATAATATGATTATAAAGAATGATTATTGTGCATAGATTCCTCTCCAACTACTTCCATCTGTATCCAATCTCTCAATTAGGCCTTCCTTATTAGAGATGTACATCTCATTCATACGCTGAACAGGAATTGGTTCCAATGGATCAACAGTAACTTGAGGAATCGGCGCTGGTACTGCAGTAACAGGCGTTGTGACTACAGGAGTGGTTGCGGGGTAGGAAGGATAAGCGGGGGTTGATGTCATCCCAGCGAGAGGGTTATAGGGACTGGCTTGCTGAGGATTCCTATATTTGAATTTCAAAGAATTAAATAATACATTTTTTAATCCTTATCAATTTATTAAATTCGAGAAAATTTTACCGATAGGCGGTCGTTATTGCAGTTTTATCATTTTGTGATCTTCCCCAAGATAGTCGAACTCGTGAATTTCCTATGTACAATAAATCACATGATTATTATACAAGTAATACAATGAAAAAACACGACAAAACATTAACAAGAAGCAGAATCAAATAAATCTCATTAAAATACAAACTCTCACTTAAATACAAACCGATTGGGTAATGTTGCATTTGATTAATCGCCATTTCTGCACTTTGACGATGCACAAACTGAACAAAGCCACAACCTTTGCCTGGTGGTATCTTGACATAAGTAATTTCACCAAAGCCTGCAAAATAACTATTTTATATTTTATATAAGAATAAATTAATAATAATATATTAACGTGGAAGAATAATTCGATAATAAAGTACCTTCTTAATTCATCCTCACTGTTAACACCCGATAATCCGCCAACAAAAACGGTAGTATTATTAGGATCATTGTACTGAGTCAAAGTTGGATTAGGTTGTGTGGGTTGAGTAAAGTATGGCGTTGGAATGGCACCAGTTTTATTTTTTGGAGTGGCTGTTGAGATGCGCATTGGTCTATTGCCACAGAATAGTCCTTGCATTTCAATAAGAGCACGCTGCTGTTCCGCCTCATCAGCAAAACGAACAAATCCGTAGCCTAGTCGTTTCAATATTTAGATTGTTAATATGATAACTTAACAGCGAATTTTATTTGTTGAAAAACTTACCTCTTGACATGCCAGTCATTGGATCTGTCATAATTTTAGCAGATTTACAACTTGGATATCGTTGTTGAAAAGTAGTCTAACGACAATCAATTAAATAATCCAAAAGTATATTGGCATATTATACACACGGGAATCGTATGTTTTAAAAATCAACACAAGAGAAACTCACCACTAACATCCATTCATTAACCTCAGGTCCTAAATCACCTACAAAAATAGAGAATTCTGGGCCTCGATCATCCCTGCTCCATGATTTTAACAGGTGCAAAAACCGAATTAAATAAGTATTTTTTGGACGCGTCTTTGTTTGTTAACACTTAATTAATTAATAAGAACATAATGATAAGGCTTACTTTCGATCAGTTATACCACCACCTGAAGCCCAATTAAGTTTAAATACTCGTTGAGTATTTGGAATAAGTGTACCATTAACTGTGCTTAACGCTTTAACGGCTGCCGCATTACTAACAAAATCAACGAAACAATAACCCGCGTTTTGTCTAAATTATACACCACACGAGCAAAAGATACAAAGGTCAAGTTTTAAAAAATTTTTTATGATATAAATAAATAATCATTTTCATCTAAACAAATACAAACCCTGTGAACTTGTCCCGAATAAACTTCACGTTAACTTGTTCACCTAATTGATACCAAACAGTTCTTATATAGTTTTCATCCATCCAAGGCTCAAGCTCACCCATCCTACATAATTCAACTAAACATTAAAATTTCCGAAAAAACTGGTATTTACTAATGCACAAGGGGAGAACAAATGATAGGATCTCAAAGACATATACCATAAAGTTGTTTTATTATCCATGCTGCTACCGTACTGAGCAAGTTGTTGACCATATTGATCGTATTGCTGGTAAGCCATTTTTATTAAAAGTGGAAAGGTTAAAGCTTACGAAGAGGTGCGTGCTTCGTGAATAGGTCAACACGATTAAAAAAAATCAAGTGTCGTATCAGTAAACGAATAAAGTGAAAACAACGTGTTCACCTTTCCTAAAAAATTATTTTTTTTTGGCTCCGTCCATAATTTAGATCACTAGCGTTGCATGATGCATCTTGAATCATTGCAGATAGATGAGATAGAAGATCGGTGACACGCTAAATTAATGCAGATAGCTCTTACCAAAATTATACGTTTGAATAATTTGATAGTTATAATTAAGTATTTATAGTATTTATTGGCCAGAGATCTTCTGGATAAGACTTAAATTGCCCTTTAAAAGTAGATAATATATGAAGTCTAGTGATCCGATCTTTAAAAAATTTCTAAATTTGGTGAATCATTACATTATATAATACATGTGAAATTGTTAAATGGTATACTTTGAATAATTCTAACCGAAACTAATTAATATGCGACTTGATTGGAACTTGTCCCAGATTCAATAAATGCTTTATTTACTTTAGCTATTTTCTATCTGTTTCATATGCAAAATTTTGATCTATGCGATCTTACGATTTTGATTGGTCAAGGACCGAAATGTAAATAAATAAATTATATGGACAAAAAATTCTGACTCAGTCATACTACTGGCTAAGATTACTAGTCAAAATAGTATAAGGTAAATAGAATTATTATAACCAAATTAAAATTTTATTAATATATTCATAAATTACAAAGAGTGATATTTTAATATGACGACTGGCTAAATAATCTTTCATAATAATTTTGTTATACTTGTGTTATTATATAAAATGAAAAAATAATTAATTGAATAAATATTATTATTATTATTTCTATTTTGAATTAGTAATAGTTATGTTTATAAGAATTATATATAATATTATAAAGTTATAATTAATTATATATATAGTTTCTTTAAATATTTAGTATTTAGTAATTCAAATTTAATAATTTTAATATATTTGATTTATTTTAGTTAAAGAAATATAATAATATCAAATTTATTTAATTTGAATTATTAAATATTAAGATATTTATATTTTTATTAAAGATTATTTATATATTTTATCAATTAATAAATATTGTTATCTTTTAATATAAATATTTCTTTTATTAATTTTATATTTTAAATTATCACATAATAATAGTAATTATATAAATATAATATGAATAATTAAGATGAAAGATTTATAATAATTCTGAATATGAGTTATAATTTATCAAAATTTATCAAAAAATAATCTAAAAATAAGTAATGATTATGTTTAATATATAATTAACTAGAATATAATTCAAGAATATATTTAATAAAAATATAATAAATAATTTATTAATAGAATAATTATTATAGAATCTATTTTATAAGAAATATTTTTTAATATCTAATTAATAATTAAATAATAATCTTGTTAATTTTTCTTTATTTTTACTTATTAAAATATATCACTTTTATATATTTTAAAGATTTTACAAATAATACTTTAGTTATACTTAAATTATTTTTATTACAGTGGCAATCAAAAATAATGTAACGCTTAAATTTTTTACTAATTATAATTAGTAAAAAATTTAAGCGTTGCATTATTTTTGATTGCCACTGTATATTTATTTTTTTAATTTTTATTAATATTCTAAATTATATATAATAAAATATTAATTTAAATAATATTATACTTAATAGTAAGCTTTTTAATTATTATAATATTGTTACTATTTTAAGTTTATATATATATAAATATTTTAAAATAGTAAGAGTGATTGTATTTATAATAATTATTTATTTTTATATCTTTAAGAGATTATATAATCAATTATCTTCTTAATAAATAATTTATATGAGTTTTATTTCTAATAAAATATGATTATTTTCTCAATAAGATAATTTATACAAGTTTACTTCTAACAAAATACTCTCTTAATAGAATAAAAGGAAAATAAAAATAATATATATGATAAAATATATGCATTTATTAAAGAAAAATATTAATTAATTACTTTTAACTCAGTAATTAATTACTTTTATTAAATTTAATTATTCTTTTTGATCATTTTTTGACTCTTTATATATTGTAACCAATTATTTATTTATGTAGTATAGTAGACATAGCGCAGCATATGGTACAGCTATAATATATAATACAGTAATTATTAATCACTACTAAATCAGATGAATAAGTAATTTTATTAATTAATTTTATTTATAATTAATTCTATTTTTAATCTATAT